AAAAAAATGGTAGTATTGACGATCCCGAGCTTGTTTATCCCGCTAGCTTTTTTCCACGATACTAAAATTCTATTTGTGGGAGCTTTTTTGGCTCGCCCACGGTTACAGATTAGTCAACGTTTCTTAAAAATTTTACAAAGAGAAGCTCTTATTTTCATATTTCTATTTCCTTACCTTAATTCTGAATCTACTTCAATTATATAGGTAAGGAACGGTATAAAACTGAACAATAAAAGATAAAACAAAAAAACTTTACTTAAATTACTTCTAATTAAACTTTTTAAATTAATTGTATATGATCCCATATATCATGAACGGAAAAGGGTCAAAACTACCCCTAGAGTATCAAAATTCCCTCCATCCACCTATTTGAATAAAAATGGCCCACCGTTATTTTTGGGTTGGCCCTATCCTTACTACTAATGGCCCTTTCTGAAAAGAAAAAAAAAATATTTAATATCAATGTGTCTTAAACCCATTGGCCTAACTTAAACCCCAACCCAAATATTCAAACACACCCGTAACCCGCCCAATAATTGACCCCCCCCCCCCCCCTTGTCGGTTCCATATTGTTCAGTGCATTTCCATGTAAAAGTCTGACTACTTTTCACTGTTTCTCTCTCTCTCTCTCATCTTTTTTGTCTGTTCTAGTTTTAATTTTTGGAGTTCATTTCTCAGCTAACATTTTAGATGGAAATTATTTGATGGTTCCGTTGTACAAGAATAAAGGTGATGTCCAGAATTGCAACGACTATAAGGGTATCAAGCTGCTGAGTCACACCATGAAAGTTTGGGAGAGAGTGATGGAGAGGAGGGTAAAGAGGAGTGTGTCTATTTTTGAGAACCAGTTGGGATTCATGTCGGGGCAGTCGACTACAGAAGCAATTCATCTTGCGAGGAGATTGGTGGAGCAGTATAGAGAGAGGAAGAAGGACTTGCATATGGTGTACATTGATCTAGAAAAAGCCTATGACAAAGTCCCGAGAGAGGTTCTATGGAGATGTTTGGAGATTAGCGGTATTCAAGTAGCGTACACTAGGGTGATTAGGGATATGTACGATGGCGCTAAAACTCGGGTGAGGACTGTGGGAGGGGACTCGAAGCAATTTCCTATGATGATGTGGTTACATCAGGGTTCAGCTCTTAGCCCATTTTTATTTGCTCTTAGCCCATTTTTATTTGCTCTGGTGATAGGATGTGCTGACGGGACACATCTAGGGGGAGGTACCATGGTGTATGTTATTTGACGAGTCGCATTGCGGGGTCAACGCTAGGCTGGAGGATTGGAGAAAGACCCTGGAGTCCAAAGGTTTTCAGTTGAGTAAAATGAAAATAGAATACTTGGAGTGCAAGTTCAGTGATGGAACACATGAAGCAAAAGTAGACGTGAAACTTGATACAAAAGTCATCCCCAAGAGTGATAGTTTCAAATATCTTGGGTCTATTATCCAAGGTAGGTAGTGGGGAGATTGACGAGTATGTTAAAAATCGTATTGGAGCGGGGTGAATGAAATGGAGGCTCGCATCTAGTGTTTTGTGTGATAAGAATGTACCACCAAGACTTTAGGGCAAGTTCTACAGAGTGGTAGTTAGACCAACTATGTTGTATGGTGTCGCGTGCTGGCCAGTCAAGAAATCCCGTGTCCAGAAGATGAAAGTAGCAAAAATGAGGATATTGAGAATTGAGATGGATGTGTGGGCATACCAGGAAGGATAAAATTAGAAATGAAGTTATTAGAGACAAGGTGGGAGTGGCCCCTGTGGAATACAAACTACGAGAATCGAGGCTGAGATGGTTTGGGCACGTGATGAGGAGAGACATAGACGTTCTGGTTAGGAGGTGTGAGAGGTTGACCAGGGCGGGTCTGAGAAAAGGTAGAGGTAGGCCTAAGAAGTACTGGGGAGAGGTGATTAGGCAGGACATGACATTGCTTCAGCTTACGAAGACATGACCCTAGATAGGAAGGTATGGAGGTCGAGAATCAGAGTCGAAGGTTGAGGTAGTCGAGGGTATCTCCTAGTCTTACCGATAGTATTAGTAATATTCTTATATATTCTTGTTCCTAGATCTTTTTATTGCATGTTGTGTCATTCGAACAGTAGTATTAGTCTTATTCTTGTATTTCTTATCTTTAAATCTTTGTTTTTATACGTTGTGTCTTTGTTTTTCCTTGTTAGTTAGTTATGGTCGGTTGCTTCCTTGCCATTGTTTCTTAAGCCGAGAATCTATCAGAAACAGCATCTCTACGTACACATTACCCTCCCTAGACCCCACTTGTGGGATTACACTGGGTTTGTTGTTGTTTCTATCAAATAGGTCCAACGATGATTTTTTTTCATTCTTAAAGATTGAAGCTCCTTAAAGTTGGACAAGAAGGCACTTTTTTATGTTATAATCAATCAATGGGATCATCATCTAGTTTTTTCCATTAAAGTACAATTACATTGTCGGAATAGTTTTTGCTTGTTCTGCACAATTTTTGATGATTTGGAATCCAATAATTTGATATTTTTTGTGCAGAATTTTTGAAGTCCCACCATGGACCAATATTTTGCTGGTGTTTAAGACGCTGAAGCAATTTTCCCAGAAATTTTGATAAATGCAGCTTTTTTTGTTCTGATTTCTTCTCCTCGATTCTCTCTTATTCTTTCTCATCTTTTTTTCTGATTCTTTTGGTTGGATGTGCTTCTTCTGGTGACGTTCTGGCAGAGGTGAGGTGATCGAGTGGGGTTCAAAATTTTGAATTCCAATTTTGAATTAATAGGGTTTAAATCGGGATGGGTCGACTATTGGACGGGTTACGGGTGGGTTTGAATATTTGGGTTGGGGTTTAAGTTAGGCCAATGGGCTTAAGACACTTGGATATTGAATAAGTTTTTTTTTTTCCTTTTCAGAAAGGGCCGTTAGTAATAAGGGTAAGGCTGACCCAAAAAAATAACGGTGCGCGATTTTTATTCAAATAGGTGGACAGAGTGCATTTTTGTACCAATTCCGATATTCCAGGGGTAGTTTTGGACCTTTTGCCATTTTTCCACCAACCAATAATGAGTACGAAAGCACATATACCCAAATTTCAATAAAATGAACCTTGGGCCTAACTCAACCCCAACATACTAACTCATGAGGCGAGGATTGTCCAAGAGTATATAAGAAAAACAACCCATTCCCTCTGCCAATGTAGGACACTTAATCTCCACCCCCACCCCATAAGTTCGGGACTGGACATCATGTGTCTCAACAATATAACATGAGGACCCAACATTGGGTAAACCAAGAATAGGGATGGATCTGGCTCTAATATCAGCTTGGGCCTAACTCAAACTTAAAAACTAGCTTGGAAGGTGAGAATTGTACAAAACCATAGAAATAGACAACACCACATTCCTAATTAAGACACTTTCTTACTTAACAGGTACAATCAATCTCCTTTAAGTGGAAATCCCTCATCCAAATTTTTTATTTTTTGATAAGGTAAAGTTTTATCGATAAAAGTACCAAGATGGTACAGAAAATTACATAAAGGAACAGATATATACAGGACAAAGCCCTCATCCAAAGTTCATTCCATCAAACCACAATAATCCATTGAATTAAGTCAATATATATATACCACAAAAGCTCCGGAAGAGATCTTGCAAAGCACGAGCAAAGAAGAAACAGCTAATCTCACTATGCATGCCCTAAATACTAACGACACAAAAATATTGATCCATGGAGGCACAAATAACATCCTACAGCAAAACGGTAGAAGCTAATAAAGTCAAGTAAGATAATTGACAATCAAGATTCCAAAAGAAAAGATAAGGAATAGTAAAGATTCAGAATAGAAGAAGAAAGACAAGCAGACTCTTAATTATCTCAGAAAGAAAACATAAAAGAAATGAAAGAACGATAGGAAACAGTTACTTATTATTACAGGAATCACTTACCCCATCGAGTTCTCATATTCTGCAAGCTCCTTCTCTTTAGCTTCAGCTTCAAGTTCCTCCATCAACTGTCATATTATAAGGTAAGTTATTCCAAAAGAACAGATGTGAAACCTTCAGATTTTATAAAGGACCAAAGGAGAAGGGTGACAGGAGAAATGACCCAAAGTATCACAAAATTACTGACCTGATGTTGAGCCAAAGCCTCCACCTGCTGTCTGTATACCTCAGTCGCAAAATCAGCATCCCATCCTGACATTAACAGGAACGTTACTCATTTGAAATACATTCTTAGAAGCATATATTCAGCTAATTAAAAATGCTTGCAACCTCAAATATCTAAGATAATGTTTAGTATAACTACCAGTAAAACATTTTTGTTTCAAATCATAGTATTGATCCAATTAATGACCAGCATCGAAGGCCAAATTTGATCATATTCCTCACATATAAGAGGCTACAACCTATTTCAGTCTGAACATTTTCTTCTATAGATAGCTAGGTCAAATATTTACTCGGAACAAATACAAAAACAAACAGTTATGAAGGGGTTAAGATAAGCTTACTTTCGTAAACTAAAGGTTCTTCATCATCATCAATCTCTGCTTCCATATCTTCCTTCAATTTCTCAATTCTATCCAATTCCCATTCAGTTTCTTCAAAATGACCTTGTGATTCAATAGCTGTCTTGTCTATGATAGGGTCCCATAACTCCAGAAAACGTACAGCATATCGATCAATTGGACGCAACTGACTCTCGAAAGACAAGATAGCTTGTCCTGCAGCAGCAGCAGCTGCTGCCATCTGTTTGACATCGGCCAACATGTCAATGTCATCATCTTTACCAGCAAAAGTAATTGCTTGTTCTTTTAATGGATTACTAGCATTTGACATAGCCACAAGTTCTTTGCCTGATGTTGTAACTGGGACTTCATGATCAGCAGGCTCATCAGCCTTCATCTCATCATCATTACCAAGTTCATCTTCTTCCAACCTACCAACTGCTTCTTCAGTGAACTCCTGATTGTCTACTGCCTCTTCCTGTTCAACTTTCTTCAGAGCCATGTAATCCGCCTCATCTTCTACATTTTGCAGAGCAGCCTCCACGTCAGCATTAGAGAGCTGAACCTCAGTAACATTGCTATTCTTCTCTCCTTCAATGTTCTTTAAGGAAACTGTTCTGTGGCCTGAGAACAATTCCATTGGATCCAGTTTCTTGAAGAATTCAGTGTTGTAACTTCCACCCTGTATAACCAAATCATCCAGAGCTCGCTTCTGGTTTGCTTTTTTCAAAATATTCTCTTCAATGGTACTCTCACTTATCAATCGATAAATATGTACTTCACGGGTCTGGCCTATTCTATGACAGCGATCTTGAGCTTGTTGATCCATAGCTGGATTCCAGTCGCTATCATAAAAGATGACTGTGTCTGCCCCCACCAAGTTGATGCCAACTCCACCACTGCGGGTTGATAAAATAAAAAGGAAAATCTTTGGATTTGTGTTGAACCGTTGCATCAAAGTTTGTCTCTGTTCGGGCAGAGTAGAACCATCCAGACGCATGTAAGTGTAACCATACAAATTAATGAAAGCTTCTAAAACATCAAGCATCTTTGTCATTTGGGTGAAAATTAGTGCACGGTGACCTCCTGATTTTAATCGCCTCAACAAACCTGCAAGCTCCTGCAGCTTTCCACAGTCAAATTGTATGAGCCGCCTATCTGGAAAGTAGACTTGCCTTCTAACAATGGCTGGGCGAAAAGGAGTGAGAAGCGGAGAGAGAACCTTAGAAGATCTCTCCTTAAAGGTTGGACTAAAAAATACGGAAGTACCTGGTTTACTGCACCAGCAAGCAGGTGCTGGGGAACGTGCAGCAGGGATTGCAAACATGAAAGTCTCAACCTGATCAACCATTTTTTGGAATCTCTCAACTGGCGACAGTATCAAGTCTGCAAGCCTAGAGGAGTACAGGTATGACAAGGGATTACTTTTCTGACAGTAAATACCGTGAACAGGATGTTTCACAGTAACAATCTCCCGAAGACTTGTTGAATATACAGGTTTCCGCTTACACTTGATGGAATTCCACCATGCAACAGATGCCGCTCTCTCCTTTGCTTCTCTTAGCCTCTCCTCGACGAGTGCCTTTTGGATCTCTTCAAATATGTTTGTCCCATGAAACTTCTTATTCCGTTTAAGTACTAGTGAAGTTTCTTCACCATGAATTTGAGTCACACGACCCTCAATCAAGCTTGAAGGGGTAGCAATGGATTGAACATCATGACTCTCCCAAGAGGTCATTGAAAAATCAAGATGTGTAAACAACAGCCCCAAAGCCCCAAGGTTGATAGATGAAAAGATACCATGTGACAGAATCGAGCAAATGGAAGAGCTCAAGTGCATATCAATACCACTCATATCAAAGGAGCTCACTATTGGACGTCCTTCAAATAAATCAGGGTGATTGCACACTTTGCGAAGTTGCATTATAACACTTATCATTGCAAAAAAATTTGAACTAGCAAGAGTAGCTTGTGTCTCCGAACTGGCAATAAAGTCTTCATACAAGTTACGCTGCCTCCTTGATAGCTTACAATAAATGACGTGCTCATGTTTTGAAGGAAGCTGCTTCTCCACATCCCTCTTCAACCGGCGGAGAATAAAGGGACGAAGGACATTATGCAAGCGATCAACAACTTCCTTATTAACCTTTTCTTGTCCCTCAACCATTCCAGATATAGGATTACAGAACCAATCTTTGAATTCCTGGTGAGATTGAAAAATATGAGGCATCAAGAAATGCATTAGAGACCACAGCTCCATGAGATCATTCTGCAATGGTGTACCAGTCAAAAGAATACGCCGTTTTGAGTTAAAATTGAGAAGTGTTTGCCATCTTTGCGATTTCCAATTCTTTATTAGATGAGCTTCATCTAAAATCAAGTACTTCCACTTCTTACGCTTGAAAACTTTGGAGTCCTGTATAACAAGTCTGTAAGTTGTGATACATATATGAAACGAGTTTGGCTTCAACCAACCTTGCCTTTTAATCTTTCGCTCTTTTGCACTGCCAAAATATGTCAAAATTTTGAAAGCAGGACACCATCTAAGAAACTCAGTCTCCCAGTTTAGCATGACACTAGTTGGGACAACAATAAGATGAGGGCCCCATATTCCTTTTTCACATGCTAGGTGAGCAAGAAGAGCAATTGTCATGATAGTCTTCCCCAAACCCATTTCATCTGCTAGGATCCCATTAAGTTTCTTCTCATACATGGTTACAAGCCAGTCCAAACCAATATGTTGATACTCACGAAGGGGAAATTTTAGAAGGAAGGGGAACTTAGTCCGCACTTTGGTTGTTGAGAAGGTGTTACCTGTTGGTTGTGCTGATCTGGCAGCAGCTGCTGCATCAGCAATTATATCATCACTTTGCCTTTCTTCCCCTGTTTTATCCATGCTTCCAACTTCCTTTTCTTCTGTCTCAGTGACCGTAGCGGGCAGTACATCGCTCGGTCCATCATTTACTTGACTGGGTTCAGATTCATTTTTTGCTGGCGATTCTGAAAAATCCTCCCCCTGCCTTTCTTCCACTGTTTTATCCATGCTTCGAACTTCCTTTTCTTCAGTCTCGGTGACTGTAGTGGGCAGTAAATCGTTCGGTCCATCATTTACTTGATTGGGTTCAGATTCATTTTTTGCTGGTGATTCTGAAAAATTCTCACTCTGCCTTTCTTCCCCTGTTTTATCCATGCTTTCAACTTCCCTTTCTTCTGTCTCAGCGACTGTAGTGGGCAGTACATCACTCAGTCCATCATTTACTTGACTCAGTTCAGATACATTCTGTGCTGTTGAAGCAGACGCATATGATTCAGAATCATCCCCCACATTTTCATCACTATCATAATCCTAACAAGCGAAAGGTGACAGTGGTGAGAATAAAATGTAAACCAAGTCCTACAGAAGAGCAGAGCACCACATACCTCTTTATACCTAGCAAGGAGCTCATCTAAAGGAAGTTCGCTCTCCTTTTGCAACAGTGCAATCTGAAAATTGAGAATTTAGCTCAAGAAATCAAATGGAATGTTCAACCATTTTGAAGCTCCATTACATGTGAGGGGAAAACTGGACCAGGTCTACGTATGATGGAATGCATCTTCAGTTATGAAGGTCAAAAGAGTGAGCTTTTACCTCATCTGCAGCATCATTCGGCTCTGCCTTTGCCAATTCTTCCTCCTCTAACAAAGTTGTTTCATCATCCTATCAAAACCATGCAGAGTAATTAAATTTTTAAGCAATCTCAAAGCCTAGATAAAGCAAGATATTAGCCACAAAATTCAACTCGGAAATTAGAGAACACAATAAAAAATGAACTGTAAAAAGATGAAACTTTGCCTCAGACAAGATGAAGCTCTCCAACCAACTGAACAATATAGCAGTTATTGCCTTACCATATTGCATTCTTTATTTTCACCAAGAGCAAGGACATAATCATCATCATCCTACATAAAATGGAGAAAAATCAGAGAAAGGTATGAAAAACTGAAGATACTCATCATGATGCATACTAAGGAGACCAAAGAAACCAACTTCTGATAGAAAAACACTGCATTCCATGAAAATGCGAGATGAAAATTTTAGTTTTTTTCATCATAAGTGATTCACACTCGAAGTTCCCTCCAAAATCTTGATATTCAATACTCAAATGCTATCAATTGGGCCCGCATTGAAGGAGGACCCCAGAAGTGCAGCTCCTCTATGACAAAGCAATAAATCGTACTTGATGGTCATGCATCAAGTTAAAATTCCAAAAACAAATATACACAAACATCTATATTGCAAGGCATTGGTTTTTAATGATAAGTAATGAGCGATAAGTTTTCTTGGATGTTAGCTAAGGAAAAATTTCTGCAGAGTACTTCTTAGTCAGGATTGGAATATTGATAATTGATAATGAGAGGTTTAATTAGAAAAAAGTTGTTAGATAAGCATCTTCACCTGTTCATCATTAAAGACACCTAACAAATTAACTTTGTCTAACTCTTGATACTTCTTTGGAGGAATTTTTAGCTTGTTTTGTCCTAGGTCAGGATACTGGTTATTTGGTACTGATAAGACGCCATTACTTTCAACCTGCAAGTACCAGAAAGCATATATATCACCTTGACCACTTACCTCGTTATAGAAGTCAAAGCAGTAACCATAAACACATACAACTTACAGAACGACGACCAGAAATGGCAGGTGAGCAGCCCCCGTTGGTCTCAATAGCAACATCATCATCTCTACCTGTACAACATCATTATTTGAAATTCATGGAGAGTTCCATGACTTAATAATTAGCAAATAAACTAAGTGGCAGATCCACTCACATTTATCACTGTCCTCGCCAGAACTGACCGTAACATCTGCACCACTCTTCTCTGGGCTACAATCTCTGCTAGCTGAAAGTTCGCAACGATTAAACAAAATCAAACACATAATTTAGATGATCCTTCGCCAAAATCATGGGATTATCCTAAAAAACAAGGAGACATAAGACAAGATAGTTCATTTTCCTCACGATCGTCAGATGATACAGAAACTTGTCAAATTTGAAGGATGGAAGAGGCAGGAATGTGAAAAACTTTAGCATAACTCAATCAACCATATTGTACCTTCCCCAACTGCATAATGCTTAAGAAGCTCCTCAAGAGGTAGATCCATTTCATTTTGTAAAGCAGCTAACTCTTCTTCCCTTTCTTCTTTAGTTATAACAGCCTCATCTTCTTCAATGGTATGCTCGTCATCTTCCTAAAGCAGCATCGACATACATGACAATATTGTTTTGTAGAACAAAATTAGCAGAACCGCAACAGACTTTGTAATATCCCCCCTCTAACAATAATGGTTCACATGGCTATAACTCAAAACCAGAGAAGTTAATAAGGAAAAAAACAATCAATTAAGCCATAGGAACAGATAAAGGACCACATAAATACTTCAGATTAATCAAATGAATAAACGGTGTTGATAAGAGCGCCCTTCTCAAACCCAACCCAGAAAGGACGTGGGAACTCAATTCGCTTCACCAGTACAAAGATTGGTAACTCATCAGAGACTTCTAGTCTACAGACGACTTGAAAGTACAGAAGACAAAGCAACATGGTTTTTGACTTGATCAATGCAATAGATAATATACCATAACACAAAATTCTCTGGTACATATCCTACTAACAATGACTACCAATGATTTCATAGAGATCAGACAATTGCAGTCAAATCTTTATCCCCAAAAAAATGGTTGCAGTCAGATCCCTGTTCAGTTCTCAGCCTAAAAAATTCCGAACAACAGTAAAGCCACACAGAAATAAAAAAAAACAACAGTCAACTTCAAATCATCTCCCCATTATGTGTGAGTGTGCACAAACGTTGTATGTTTTCAGACTCCTTGAATTCCTTTATACAAGGTACTTGAATTTATTGTTTCTTGCTTTGGAATGTTTAAGGCTAAAAGGTGATAAAATATAAATTTTTCACACTATTTGGATTAGCTGAGGTAACTTCCTGACATTTGAGTTCTGGAACAAAAAGATTAATCTAGTATAAGAAGGTTTGATCCTTGACATTCTTCACAAAAAAAGATCGTCCATGATGAGAATAATAAGTGCTCACATAATTCAACATTATATGTTATGACCTTGGTTATGAGAATCCACACAACTGCTTCAAGAAATTAAAGGTCTGAAATGACTGGTGCCCCCATAAAGTTATTGCCTGCCATTTGGATTAGATGATTGCATTAACATGCATTAGTAATGTTATACTCTGCAAGGTCATCTAAGTACATTTTAATTCGCCATAAAGATCAACATATTGATTAGGTCTTATTTGCAAATAAATCAAGCTCTATTCAGGGCTGTGATATCAACTGTGTAGCACAAAGAGAGGGGGCAGAGAGGAAGAAAATTCTCCAAAACTTGTGTCATCAGAAAATTGGCTTCAAAGCTAGTTTCCTAAATTAGCTTAATATTGAAGCCACGCAAAGTGCTATGATCAATAATTTGGTTTCTAGCTCAAGTATAAATATTTCATTCTGCTCCTCGCATTCAAGTATTTCATGAATACATGTCAAACAACTTTCTAATGGTAACAATGAGCGACATGTAAGACTTCAAGATCCTACAAACATAAATATGCACAGTATCAAACTCCACTATTGCTATTCGAAAGCTTACCATTTCGTCTTCAGACTGCACGTCAAAATCATCATCAATATCACTACCAGTCGAATGAGATTCTGAAATTTCAGTTTACGTAAGAAACTAGGGGAAAATATTGTCAAAACGCTTGTCAATATTGGTCAGAAATCTAGTTACTGTACTTACGAAGATTTTCTCCTGCACGATTCTTTACATCCCCTTCACTCCCTTCTTTTAATTGAATTCTCAAGGCTTCTGGTGCAGACAAAGAATTGGTTCGTTTGCTAGTAGTTGGTGAACTTACAAGGTTCTCTGCGAGCATTGTTGAGTACCTGGGATAAAAACAAGAAGAGTGCCAAATTGTGTTATTCTTAGGTCAATCAATCAACTAAACCTCAATTCGTAGCTATCAGGGCTGATCATGTTGTTCATTGTGTGTACAAAATTTTAACATCTTTTCATAGCAAATAAGAGGGTCTTCCTAGCAATATAAATGGCGTCAGCAAAGCAGGATAGAAAGGGAAAAGGACTGAACCTTTCTGTTTGTCCAAGAAGGAACTCTAGCTGCTTGTCAAGTGCTTTCTTCTTCTTCTCATCCAACTCCAACTGATGCTTGTAAAGAACCTGAAATATGAAAAACATGGGAACAATCTCTGTCAAATCTCAAGATCACTTGGAGTGAAAAAACCAACTGCTTCAGAAAATTCTCCAGAAAATGAATTACCAGCTTCTCTATTTTTAACCAAAATTTTTTGATGTCCTTTGAGATATTGAGTGCAACTTTTCGCAAACGTTGCTCTTCTTCCTGATGACATATTATAGAAGAGAAATAAGTAAAATTTAGCAATATAAATAGTAAAGAATGCAAAATACTGAAGTTTTGGTCACTAAATACGACAATATTCACGTGCAGGGAGAAGAGAATAAAACATCAACCTTAACTCTCTTTTCTCCCCGTGTCGCCTGATCAAGCATTCCCTTGCTAGCTCGTATAGCAACCTTCTTTGCCTGAGCCAACTTCCACTTTCTCTCTGATTCAAAGTCCTGTAAATAAGATATCTTCCTTAGAATAACTTCATTGACATTAATCTAATAGCTTACACAATTGCTCCTGAACTAAGGAAAGGACTTTCTATACCTTTGACAACCAGACCATCTCTTCCAGAACATGATCCCAGTGTGTTTTAGGTCGTCGAGGTTCTTTAGGTGCTTCAAGACCCTAAATACAAATCAAGAAAATAAGCAAGCGGAAAATGTAAAACACAAGAAAGTAACAAGGTACCCCCTGATTATTCATTCATGTAGCTACCAGAGCTTATCCTATAACACTATGATAGGACAATTATTACCTACCCATGACTGAACAAATTCCATCATGGGGATACCCGAACATCTAGCTTACTAATTAGGTAGATCTGTTTCAATTATATCTCTCAAGAGCAAGAAAGAACATAACCTATGTCACACAATTGTTTGGGGAAAAAATTTGGTCCAACAGATTCTGACACTAGATTTGCAATATGTTCCACATTTTATCTTTTCATATTTTTCTGAAATGTTCCACTAAAACTAGTGGTTTATATTATGTTTCACATTTTATCTTTCCATATTCCCCCATCCTTATACAAGGTCAAGAAAGAACCTCCTCTCTTACAGAATATTCTTAAGCTACCTTTCTTTGGGAGTAGGATCTCTTTCCTAGGAGCTCATGGGAAGGCAAGCTTAGAGTTCTTTCTTTCGTTCTTGCTGTTTCGAAGACTGCTTTTTTGTCTATTTCTTTAACGAGTATCACTAAGATTGCATTGCATTGCAATAATCACAATTGGTTAGTCACGTGAGAAAAGCATGTGCAGAACAATCAATCACAATGCTAATAGGCCATATGGCAAGTTGTAATCATTAAAGTGATGCCAGGGTCAAATGTGTAACATTTTGATACATCAGCATGTTCCAGTCAAGAGTATTAGATAACAAGAAAATAGAAAACAAAAGTTAAATAGTTTAATGAACTAATGCACTAAAAGGATCAATTTGCAACTTTGGATCAACCAAGTGAGAAGTCCCAAAAAACATTAACGAAATGCATGGACCTGAACAGTAATATACTATGTTTCACAGTTATCTTTGTCATTCTCCAATAATGAGAGCATTTGGCATCTTCTAGGACGGCATCCAGTTTGCTTTAAAACAAAAAGGCATCCATACATTGATAGACAACACAGCAGCAGCTAATTGCTCTACTTATTAACTCTTTCACATCGACTGCTGATACTTCCAAGGGTTCAGTCCAAACATAATTATGAACAGCCTCCATTCTAGATAAGACCTTCTGGCGTAAATTGATATAGTTAAAAGTATACTTGATTCCCTGGTGTGAACTTTAAATTAAGATACCCCCTTAAGAAATAAAGACTTGAAAACATCTTCTGCACATGACAGATTTACATGGAATCTCATCAATGTACTGTTGCACAATAGTGTATTCCACCCACTAGATTTCACTGTAGTGCCTGTGTGCCATTTGCAGCTGGAACTGGAATGCCTTTAAAATAGGCACATTTTAGCAACCAAGAAAATTTCAAATTACATGGCTGAAAAACCACTGCCAGGGTTTGGACTATCACCCACCAACCACAATGCTTAGATTGTCCTAGGTTCAGCAGACCAATCCATTCACATTCTATGCATACTGCTATGCTAACATCATGGATACTTGCTCAGCCTAAGCACCAAAAAAGGAATAATGCACTATTCAAAAACAGTCCTCACTTGCCCAAAAACAGAAAAAGATAAAGAACAACAACAGCAACCTGGTGTAATCCCACAAGAGGGGAAAACTAGAAAAAGATAAAGAAAAAAGAAAATAGAGAAACAACCCCATTCACTTTGAGAATGCAGATATAAAAGAAACTGGATCAATAAGAAAAAGGATTAACACAATTGAAAAATCCAGACTTTAGACGATGGCTTCTAACTTTAAGAATGATTGCAACTAAGATCCAATTCATACCTTTTGACGTCGGACACGTATTTCATGGTCCGGCTTAGACTTGTACCCTTTAGAAGCCATATATCTCAAGATACATACACCATGATTCCGGCCTCTACACATGTAAAAAGAAAATTAGCTACAGGCACAAACTTATCTCCATAACAAGGAAGAATATAGGAAAGGAAAATGAATTCAAGAATATGGAAACACCTAGCTTATCTAGATCAAACACAGTATGTAGGTATAGTTTATTAACAACTACCAAAGAGGAATGTCTAACTGGTGTCAAGAGGCACCAGATTATGATCTTATCAAGGATAAGCGAGGCTAGTTGTTTTCTCCAGATGAGCAAAAGCTAGGGAAGATTACATGTATGCTTTCACCTTATCCATTGTGGTGGGCGATGGAAGAAAAAACAGGTTTTGACACTATCCCAGACACTTCTCCTATTCTCTACCGCAGTTGATCCTTCTCCTCAATTATTCATTTCCACAAAACTTCTGAGTACATCTTCTGGAAACCCCACACTAAAGGGCACTTCTCTTTTAAAAAACTGCTACAACACCCTCACTATCTCACCCCCTGGTCTGGTTCCCTGGCCTTGGAAACAATTCGGAAGAGCAATGCCCCTTACAAGGTCAAATGTCTCTCTTGGATTGTTGCAAAAGGCAGATGCCTCACATTGGATAATCTACAAAAGAGGGACTTCCTATTATGTAATAGGTGCTCACTTTGCAAGGAGCAGGAAGAAGATCACCATTCATTCCTTCACTGCAGGATTTCTTCCCAAATCTGGAATTTTGTTTTTATTATTCTCGGAATCCTATGGTGCATGCCAAGAACTACTTTGGACTTCCTCCTGCATAAAAAAGGCTTGACTAATGCCTCTTCTAAAACTTGGAATTCCATCGTCGCAACTGTAGGGTGGGTCATTTGGAAGGAAAGAAATGCACGAGCTTTTCAAGACGAGGACATTGTAGTTAAACTTAAATTCAATTGTTAATCCTTGCTTAGTTTTTCGTTTAACATGGCTGTGGCAAATTTGTTAGTGCCCCATCATGATAGTTTCTTACACTATACGTTTTGTAATGTCCTTACACTTTGTATGTATCTTTAACAGTGCTATTTTACATCAATAAAACCCTTAGTTCACTATACGTTTTGTAATGTCCTTACACTTTGTATGTATCTTTAACAGGGCTATTTTACGTCAATAAAACCCTTACTTTGCCTATCAAAAGGAAGAAAAAACTAGGGAATGTTCTAGGGTTTTTTAAAACTAACTAGATAGGTGAGAAGGATACTATCACTCTTCTCAGAAGTTGTTCATTTCTGAACCACATATAAGAACTATCAACTGAGCACATCAAGTTTATTTACACAAACAAACAGAAAAAAGTTCTCTCCAGTAGAATATTTTACAACATAAAACAATGAAGATCATTAATTAAACACTCTTCTATATTTTGTTCTTCTCGAATGCACTGATTGAAATGTACTGGTGGATGATGCCGGTAGACAGAAAACCAGCTGCTCCCTTATCACATCTTCTATTAACAGCTCCTTATAAATATCACGTTCCCAGGATGCATACAACCCCCTAATCCTAAATACCCGTGCTTCTAGGTCCCTATTTTCGTACAGCCACCTCACTTTACAAATTACTTTATATATTTGGTAGCAGTAAGAGATAGTTTTTGTTAATTACCAACAATAATTGTATGCTGTGCAGTATGTACAGGAAAGCTATTACATTACTTTATATATATTATAAGCAAAGAGATAGCAACCAAGAAAAACGCAACTTGTACACAATGTATAAAACTTCAAAAATGACATACGTATGTCCAAAGAATCCCAAACAAACAAATCCACACGCAAGTCAAGAGCCCATGCTTTGTGTTATGACAGCAGTATTATTCGTTCGGTTAACTATGGTATAACTATGGATAACAGGAAATCTCAATAAAATCTCTATCATATTTGTCACGCCCCAAACTAGGGGAGGCACGACTGGCACTCGATACTGTATTCGATCGAGTTAGCCACTAAACATACTAGCTAACTAAACTGGGGCCCAACAGATCGAGCAGCACAACATCTGAAATACTAAGCCTGGACCGTTAAACAAAGGTAGACGAGCCAAAATAATAAAGTACTAGTTGGACGACGAGGCCGCGATTGGAGACATACATGCCTACACACATATATATACATGCCAAGCCTATGGGCTGGATACTGAAAGCTGCAAAAAGAAACCCAGAATACTGTGTCCACAATAGCCTCTAAGAGTGTCATAAGCACTGTCGGAACAAGGCCCCGACTATACCCAAACTGTACACAAAAGTAACCATCCTATGAAAGCTCCAGGAAGAGGTGGAGCTTACCA